TATTTTTCCCGCACATTGCCCGAGCACCGTCAGTACATATACCGACGCAGTTCTTCCACTGTATACCTTTTCCTTTTATATAGGAATCAATTACGTTGAAATTTACCTCAGCTGTTCCACGAATAATTGGCTTGCAAAACAAAATGTCTTCATGCACATCTTCTTGCCATATATAACGCACAAAAACAATTAATTGAGATAGGCCTTGCACGTCGCGTCGGTAGACTAATCTAGTTGCAGAGCATAATATTCACTATTAATTATTCGCTAGATTAATTCATCTTCTGTCCATTCAGCCATTTCGTCAATTCTTCGCGCAACAGTATTATTCGATAGTGGTATGCGCTCGATTTCTTTTACTTCTTTTTCTCCAAACATAGCTCCAACAGCATCTTTAATCGATGGTAATACTAAGTCTTCGCCAATAGTATGAGGTTTACCTGCTCTAGCGATTCTTAAGCTAATAAGGTATGATGCATATACAGCATTTTCATTGATATTAATGAAATGAGAAACAATATTTTTAGAAGACTTCATTTCTAACTTTTTTTTTGAAAAAAGTCTACTGGCTTGTTTACAGAATTGGAATGCTTTGTTTCTATATAACGTGTCAGCTTACTTGGACGCATACTTTCGTTCGCTAATATTTCGTAGCAAATCACACATTGAGGACGCGGATCTGTCGCATCATGATTCCAAGTAAATCCTAGTTTCAGATATTCCGGGTCATATTTTCTCACCACTTTCCGACGTTTCGTTGACTCGACGCGACTTGTTGAAGGCATTTGAAAGTCATACTCAGTGCCGCTTTTGTCACTCAAAAGATCTGTATTTTCAGTACTATTTTCGCAATCAGCTGGCGGCGGCGAGGTAGTTTTTGCTACCCGTTTTAAGCATTTTTCCATTATTATCTTCAAACGTTACTAAATGAGATTACAATAACGCACGCTAACGAACACGACACATCTCGCAATGAACTTCGTAAAACAAAAGACTCGCGAAATGCGTTCGTCCGCCTCCCGCCCGTCTCGCTCCCCTCAGCTCGCACGTCGCCAGGTCAGTCGTCAGTCGCCCGCCGCCCGGCCGTTGTTTCGGACGGTTGGTATTAGTACTATAGGCAGGGCCCACTCAATATTCGCTCGCGACCCACCAGTGGGTCGCGACCCATAGTTTGCGAAACTCTGATCGCTGATTGGTATAACTTCTAAAAAGTATTTGATGCTTTGCTGGATGGACGTTAAAAATGAGTATAGTTATTATAAAACTAAATATTTCTCTCTTTGTAATATTTTTGTTGTTGGGTTTTTCGAATGCAAAAGTTTTAGAAACTTACCTTGAGTTTCAAGGTCGAAATTACACAGTTCAAATTGACTTGAAAATTAAAAATAGTTCCTCCCCAGTTCCAATATTAGTTAAAAGCTCAACAGAAAAGATCAATTTGGAAACATCGGAGGACAAAATTGTAAATAAAACTTCTAGTTCAGAATTTGAAGTTCAGGAATTGCAACATGACAATGAGGGATTAATCACTGAAGAAGAGTACCATGAAAGTGTTGCTTTGGAACTTAAAGCAAAAGTGACTAAATTAGAAGATGAGATGGCTTGTGACTTATTATATACAGGTATGCTAAGAAGAGTCTATATTATAGAGAAGAAGAAGTAAACATGTGATTATACCAGGGAAGGTGATTTGGTTAAAGAGATTGAGTGCTATAACCAGGAACATCAGAATGCACTAGAGATGCAAGTTTCAGAAATCACGACCATGATACGCAAACGACTTCCTGAGCTGAAGAGTTCCCAAAAAAAAATCATTTGTTACGAATAAAAAGAAATGTATCTGGTGATTCGTCGGCATGGAAATATACTGCATCTCACAAAGCGTATTCACTTTCTTTAAACATTCAAAATTATAGATTTATTTGCTCGGTTATAATTTGGTTCGATATTTTGAATGAAATTAATGCTCTGAGCAAAATGATGCAGAGTTTCACAATGAATACTCAAATCTGCATAAATTTGTTAAATAAGGTGATTGAGGTGATTATATTGCACGGCTGAACACTTTGAAACGGTTTTAGCAGAAGCTTCCAAAGTGGCTTACGAACTCAACATAGAAACAGATTTCCCTCCAATAAATACAATCTGTCCAAGAAGAACATCAACACAATTTAACTATGAACACAGCGATGAAGTTTTAATAGACGCCAAAATCAAATATAGCGTAGAGTTTTATTTTAGAATATTACATCAAACAATAACTTCTAGGATAGATTCGATGAGTTAAAAACATTTTCCGACGTATTTGGCTTTTTTAGCAATAACTTATTCAAATGAGAGGTAATAATAAAAACTTGTCTAAAAATCACTGACTGAACAATTCTTTATTCGACTAGTTTCGCCTTTTACAGCATTATCAAGAATGCAGATTTCCAGAATGCAGAATTACAGAATTATCAAGAATTCTTGATAATGCTGTAAAAGGCGAAACTAGTCGAATAAAGAATGGTTCAGTCAGTGATTTTTAGACAAGTTTTTATTTTTCTGTTATTACCTCTCATTTAAATATGAACTATCACAGAGTAGATTCATCGTCCATTGAATTTATTAATAACTTATTCAATTATTCCAATGATGAATTAATGAAACATTGTAAAGATTTAAATCTGAAACTTGAAGAGAATCAGTAGAGTTCAATCAGAAGAGAATGAAGTAGAGAATCAGACATTGAAGGTATTGATTCATTTAATGAAATCATTGCATTAAAGTTTCATTTGGCCGAAAACCAGTATAATGATCCTCAAACTCTATTACAATATTTTTTTAGCAATGACTTAATTTCAACATTTCCGAACACAGCAATAGCGCTAAGAATATTACTTACACTGCCGGTTTCAGTTGCATCTGGTGAAAGATCTTTTCAAAATTAAAAATTATAAAGAACTATTTAAGATCAACAATGCTCCAGCACAGACTAAGTTTTTTAGCAATAATTTCAATTGAACATGAAATTTTACACAGTTTGTACACAAGAAAGTTGATAGAAGATTTCGCAAGAGTACATTTTTGTAGATAAATAGAAATAGAAAACGTAAGTTTAAAATTTTTCACATTAGTAAACGAAAATAACAAGTTAATTAAATTAATTATTTAAAATAACTGTTTTATCTTCGTTTAGTTGTTTTTTTTTTCTCCACCATATTAAAAAAATATAAGAAAGAATTATCCCTTTTTTGACGAAACGGGTGTTTTTTTCAGAGGTATAGAACTTTAAATTGGCATTATTGTTGAAGATGGCGACCGATTTCACAGCTAAGAAGTGATTTATTGCCAGTTTCGTTTGGAAATTCATCATGAATAGACTCACGCCTGAACAACGCTTGCAAATAGTGCAATTTTATTTCGAAAATAATGGTTCTGTGCGGAATACGTATCGCGCGAATTTTGTTTAACGATGAAGCGCACTTCTGGTTGAATGGCTACGTCAACAAACACAACTGCCGCATTTGGAGTGAAGATAATCCTCAAGTGTATGTCAAAACACCGTTACACCCAGAAAAACTGACTGTTTAGCCGATTTTCCACTGCGATGACCAATTTGAATCAATCAATTGATATCAAATTCCAAAATTTGTCCAATGATTCCACTGCGCTTTATGGGCTGGTAGAATCATTGGTCCGCACTTCTTCAAAAACGATGATGGCCAGAACGTTACAGTCAATGGTAATCGGTATAGAGCCATGATTACTAACTTTTTCATTCCTGAATTGAACAACCATGATGTCCTGGTGCTTCGGTTTCAACAAGACGGCGCAACATGTCACACAGTTCGTGCCACAATCGACTTATTGAAAGACACGTTTGGTGACCGCCTAATTTCACGTTTTGGACCTGTGAATTGGCCTCCAAGATCTTGTGATCTAACACCGCTAGACTACCTTTTGTGGGGCTATGTAAAGTCTTTGGAGTATGCGGATAAGCCACAAACGCTTGACCATTTGGAAGACAATATTCGCCGTGTTATTACCGATATACGGCCACAAATGTTGGAAAATTGGACGTCCAGATTGGATTACATCCGAGCCAGCCGTGGCGGCCATATGCCAGAAATCATATTCAAAATGAAATGTCACAAAAAAAAATTCTTGTCAATCGAATGATCCATCGTTGTTTTATTGCAATTTAAAGTTCTATACCTCTAAAAAAATACCCTTTAGTAGGGCGGCATAATCGGTATTGCGCGCGGGCGACGAAACAGCTAGCGGCGGGCCTACACAAATGTGTATAAACTGTACATTGTTGAAATAATATTTTCCTTTTATTATTATTCGAATTGTTCAATTGTAGAATCACTGTGCAGTAAAATCGTAATTACTAAATGAGTATACAAATATTTAAAAGATGACAAACAACAGAAAATCATTTCAAATCTTCGTACTTATTTTAACTTCTGAAAATTTTTCACTATTTATTTCAATAGGACAATTTTTAATTTTTTCTCAAATCAATGATTTTAGTAAAATGATGCGATCTGTTTTATTTTGATACGTGTATCTATAGATAGGAAAACAAAAGGTTTTCCTTCATATAGATATTATCAAATATTGGAAACTTAGATGATCAACTAGAAAGACCTTCTAATATCGCAAAATGGAGGCATATAAATCAAGACTCAGTAGTTTTTAATTGATTTTTTCTGATTGAATCGAAATCTAACAGATATCCATATCAGATTTGATATCATCTATTGTCTATCTATATGTCTTGAAACAAATGCTATATCAAATTACTTTCATCGGCAAGAGCAATAAAGATATATTCTTAAATAATTTTTTTCCTGCAAATTACAAGAAGCGATTTATTTTCAATGAATTGATTCCTACAGTTTTTTTTTAATTCAATGGACCTACAGTTCAACGCCGATTTCGAACGGCCATTGGGCTTGTAATCAATGAAAATTACCCATCAATTTTCATCATTGAACTACTGACAAACCCCAAGCCTTCACTGGGGCTCGAACCTAAATCCTAACGCACCATAATCGGGTGTTTTCCCGACTAAGCCACGAAAGCCGGCAGATTCATAGAGATTAGGTACTATTGCATTTACAAAATTTATCATAGTTATGTAAGTATATTTGAAGTATTAATGCCGTTATCGGACTTCTCATTACACGAATTCTCAAAACCAGTTTTGAAAACTTTCGAGATCAAAAAGATTCACTTATGATAAACCAATTGCATATTTCCATGCAGATAATCATCATGGAAATAAAATTTCCAAAGTCGTTTTTTGCACGTGACACATCATTTGATTTATTTTGAGTTCATAATTGCATTTTTCCATTTGCTTATTGAATATTGGAAAGAGGGTGTCATTAAATCTGAAAGAATCTAAATTCTAAATCTTTACTATATTAATATACGTAGGACGAAAATCAACTCGTAAGCATATAATGCTGACAAGAGAAAATTCATAAAATTATTATATATCATTCAGGTAAATGAGATAAGCGTTTCAAGGAGTGGACAAGATCTAAATAGGATATTTATCTGGACAATAACTCAGCATGTACATTTCATATGCTGAATATGACAACCTAAAATTCATATCAATTCTATCGATTACAGATATTCAGAAAAGAACAGTTATTATGATGGTGTACGAGGTCTGTTCGAAAGATGAGGTGTATTTTGATTTTTCGCGAGCTGTGCATATTCGATTATCGACATTTTTTTTCGTCATGTTGGTACACATACCTTGCTCATATGTTGACATAATCAGCCATTTTGGATTGGTAGTTTGTTTTTAACAACTGAAAAGGTTAGTCACGTTTTTGTGTGTTCTTCGATGTATTATATTTGAAAAAATTGGGCCAAGGAATCTTAATTAAATTTTACGTTAAAGATGAAATAAAGTGCTTCAACGCACTTAAAATTTTACTTTCAGAATTTACTTTCTCTCAAAAAGGTGTATAAGTGGTGCAAACGCTTTACGGAAGGCCGACAAGATGTTGATGACGATGAGCGTCCTGGAGTTGCAACCACATCAACAAACGAAAAAAACATCTAATCAGTGAAGAAAATGGTTTTGGAAAATCGTCGAATCACTATTAAGGAAGTTGCAGAGGATGTTGCCATATCAATCGGCTCATCATATGCAATTTTTTCGGATATTTTGGGCGTGTAAAGTGTGGTAGCGAAGTTCTTTCCGAAATTGCTAAATTTTTAGCAAAAGCAACTCGCATTAGTATCACTCAGGAGTTGTTGAATGACGTCCAAATCGGACCAAATTTGCTCAAAAAAGGCTATTGTTGGTGACGAAACATTGTTGTATGTTTAGGACGTCGAAACCAAGACCCAGTCATCCAATGGAAGCGGCCAGAAGGGCCAAAACCGAAAAAAGCGCCAAAACGCGACAAAACCATTTTTGATCAAATGTGAAGGATTTGCCTACTGCTTTCTTCGATTACAACGGCTTGTAATCGAAGAAATCGGTGCACCATTTTATCAACAGGTAGCATGGCTGATAAGAAACACTACAAGGAAGTTATGCGACGTTTTCGTGAAGCAATAGGTACTATCGGAATTGTGGAAGAAGAAATCATGGATTCTGTATCACGATAAGACACCCGCTCACACATGATTTTTCGAGATTTTTCGGCCAAAAACAAGACCGTGGTCATGCCCCAACCACCGTGTTCACAAAGACAAATATATATTGATAAGACAAAATTGGAATCGAAGAACGAGCTGATGGACGTACCGAAAACCTCATTTAAGAACTGCTTCGAGGATTGGACGAAGCGCTCGCATAAGTGCATTATATCTGAGAGGAATTAGATTGAAGGAAACAAAATGGTAATTGATGAATGAATAAACACTTTTCGAAAAAATTCAAAATTCACATTTCATTTCGAACAAACTTCGTATAAGGATTGAATCGTATATAAGGCATTGAGGCGTATCCTACATATGCTATTCATTTTGGTGAAATTCGGCGATATATATTCGTACTACGTACTTTTCAGTGCCAGGTACTTTTCAGATTGCAGAGGAAGGCAATTCGAATAATTGCAAACGTTGGTTTATTGAAAACATACAAACCACTATTTATGAAATCAAAATAATGCCCTAGCGTACTGTGGATATATAACGTTCTTGTAGAAAAAAGGGTGTTTTTTTAGAGGTATAGAACTTTAAATTGCAATAAAACAACGATGGATCATTCGATTGACAAGATTTTTTTTTTCGATAATCTTGTGGCATTGCATTTTAAATATGATTTTTGGCATATGACCGCCACGGCTGGCTCGGATGTAGTCCAATCTGGACGTCCAATTTTCGATGACTTTTTCCAATATTTGTGGCCGTATATCGGCAACAACACGGCGAACATTTCTTCCAAATGGTCAAGCGTTTGTGGCTTATCCGCATAGACCAATGACTTTACATAGCCTCACAGTAAGTAGTCTAGCGGTGTTAAACCACAAGATCTTGGAGCCCAATTCACAGGTCCAAAACGGAATGTTAAAGTTAGTAATTATGGCTCTATACCGATTGACCGATAACCATTGACTGTAAAGTTCTGGGATGAAGTGCGCTTCATCGCTAAACAAAATTCGCGCGATACGTATTCCGCACAGAACCATTATTTTCGAAATAAAAATTGCACTATTTGCAAGCGTTGTTCAGGCGTGAGTCTATTCATGATGAATTATCACACTGAAAATAAATCACTTCTCAGCTGTTAAATCAGTCGCCATCTTCAACAGTAACGCCAACATAAAGTTCTGTACCTCTAAAAAAAAACATCCGTTGCAAAGGGATGTGGATACAATACAAGAGGTGCAAATAATATCCGAACAACTAAATATCGTCTGAGTACTTCGAAGGAAAACTCGATTTTTGAAATTTATACAACATTATAACTTCATAAATAAATTCGAAATAAAAATGAAGAAATATCTTTCGAGATTTTGCTTGTATTCTGCAAACGAGTGTTTTGAACTTCAGCGCAAAGTCTTTAATGTGAACATGCTCACCACATGTTTATGAACTTGTGTTATTTTTGTACATTTCATTTATTTATTAAAGTTTCATTATGAATGAATTATCTAATTCAATCAAATTTATATTCATTAGTTTTCACTAATTAGTTTTACCTAGAATTAAATTGCATATTTATTTTACCTAGAATTAAATTAAAGTGCATATTTATTATTTCCTCCTATTTTACACTATTTGCTATTTTATGTTAAGTGTATTTTTGGAGGAGTGGAAGAATGACCTGTCAAACTCATGGAAAATTTTGACTCTTTTGTAAAAAAAAAATTTCTCTACAATCAAGATTACTCTGATATTTTCATAACTTTTTTCGTAACTCGAAAATATATTCGATATATTCTATATTATATATAGACGCGTTATATGATCAATCAGCAGTACTTATAGTTTACATCTATATTCAGAATTTATTGAGAATTTCTATCAGAAATAGAGCTTTCAATTATTATATATGTAAAACATAACATTGCTGCCAGAGCAAATAATAGTTCTGAAATACGATTTTGTCGTTATTGTGCAACTGTATGAGTTTTATACTACCAAGAATTTAAATCATGATTCTAAACAATTGAAAACTATAAATGCCATAAAATATTGTGTAGGTTAGATAAATGGATAAGGAGCAATAAAAATCTAGCCAGCTTTTTCATATAAACACAGTTTGTTGAGTACACAATAGGATAAAAAAATTGGTGAATTTTAATGATTAACTCAATGGAAAAAAAAAACAGTTCCAGAAGTAAGAAGTTGAAATGTTTGAGAATTTTCTGGACTAAACACAATGTCGATGGTAATATACTATCTACTATTAACACTAGATATTTTCATGTTTTTACATTATTATTTTTTGTAAGGAGAAACAACACTGTTAATAACACAAACAACATTTCAAACGTGATCAGTTTTGTAAACTGAAGTGAAAAGTATATCAGTTGTAGAAATGAAAAATGTGAGTAACGAATCACAATTAGTTAGTATTTACTAACTTTTCGGTTCAATAAATTAATAAATGTGATGAATCAAAATAATTCCATGATACTGAAAAAAGAAATAATAGAAATGAATCGAATGAAAAAATTATTTTGAAAAATTAAAGAATTATACCTATAAATGAAATGAATAAAATCAAGAAATGAGTTGAATGACGAAAAATTATAAACTGAGTACTTCAAATATAAAAACATATATATATATATATATATATATATATATATATATATATATATATATATATATATATATATATATATATATATATATATATATATATATATAAAAACTTGGTTCTCGGAATGAGCCGCGTTCTAGATTTATATAATCTCGACGTTTCGGCTTCCATTGTGAAGCCATCTTCAGGAGTTGGAATGAATTAGTAGGGAAAAGGGTTATTCGGTTACGTGGCCTCAATCTGCCTACTCCACGAACTGAATGAAGGAAAATGAGAAAAGGTTACCTGGTTACGTGGCCTCAATCTGCCTACTCCACGAACCAAATGAGGGAAACTAGGAACGATAAGAAATGATTCGGTTGCGTGGCCTCAATCTGCCTACTCCACGAGCCAAATCATTTCTAATAGTTAACTCCGAAGTCTCAACCTGCCTACTCTTCGGAGTCAAGTTGACTCCGAATCATTTCTTATCGTTCCTAGTTTCCCTCATTTGGTTCGTGGAGTAGGCAGATTGAGGCCACGTAACCAGGTAACCTTTTCTCATTTTCCTTCATTCAGTTCGTGGAGTAGGCAGATTGAGGCCACGTAACCGAATAACCCTTTTCCCTACTAATTCATTCCAACTCCTGAAGATGGCTTCACAATGGAAGCCGAAACGTCGAGATTATATAAATCTAGAACGCGGCTCATTCCGAGAACCAAGTTTTATACATACTTCTGACCGCGGAAACCTTTCTGAACATTTCATACATATATATATATATATATATATATATATATATATATATATATATATATATATATATATATATATATATATATATATATATATGATAAT